ATCCTCTCTCCGCTTTATTTATGGCACCTACATGTTGCTGATACCACTGCATCTCATGCTGTATTTCTTTTCTGTGGATGGTGATATAGATAAAAAATATAAAAGGAAGACATGTAACAGTTCCTGAAATGTCTTGCTATACATCTATTGATACAGTATATTAAATGGCCATTATTATTTCAAATCAGTGGTCACAGGCGTGCAGCTCTCATATCTGACTGCAGAACCAGTATTAAGATCGAATATCTCACTCCATTCTTTCTGTCATCAGTGATTAATTAAACAGTAACGGACCCTCTTATTTCCTGATTGCACAACCTCCTTTCCTTCTTCTCTCTAGGGATAGCTGAGTGTCATTTGTATAGTCCTGTGATAGAATGCTGCCCAGGGAATTCTCATATGGATTCACAATCGATAGAATAAATTAGAATCATTTCTCGGGTAAAGTCATTTTTTTTTTAACTTACAAAAGCTCAATGTATCCTGACATTTCTATACTCTGAAACAACAGACCCGTTTATTAACTTCTTCTCTGCTGAGCTTTTCTGAGCTTTGTCTCAGTCCCTTGCTCCTTTGTCTCTGTCCTTTGATGATGAGAATTTAGATGTTTATTTGATACTTTCAGTAAAATACAATTTTCAGTACTTTTTCTTGAAGTTCCTCTACAAATCATATTTTTGCCTGCACTTTTTGTTCTACTAAAATACCGATCAATTATGATGTATCTCTTGTGTGCAAACAAAACTGCCTACAAAGAAAAATATAAGAAAATTCAAATAAAATACATGGCACATAATAATGTTTTAAAATAATATACTATTTAAAAAGACAGTAGCTTTAATTGTGCATATTTCTTTAATTCCCCCCCTCCCCCCAGGTTTGTTTTCCTGACACAATAGTGTTCCGTTAAGGGTCCGATGAGAAACAAACTTCAATGAGAGATGTAACATTGTCATGTTAAGAGTAAAAAGAATTGATAATTTGCCAAATCCTAAAATGAATACAATTACAAGTTTGCATAGACTAATAGTTAAAGGGACACTATAGTCA